GTTTCCGTGTTTGGATGGAATGATCCAAACACTTGGGAATGTTGCTCGAGTTAAGAAAAGCGGGCAAAATCACTCGCCTTCGGCTCGTGATTTCGCTCGCTTTTCTTAACCCTCGCAACATTCCCGCGTGTTTGGATCAGACCATCCAAACACGGAAACCATAAAGTAATTGTATAATGCAAACGGTGTCGATGATCGTCTATTCTCTCGAGATTCGTCTAAAATCTGGCCAATCGCAATACAAAACGTGTACAACTTCCGAGTACAGTCAAGATGCTTTTTTTTCGGAGTATGTTTTTTTGTATTTCTGAAATTGTTGGATGGCAATGGTTCCTCGCTCTCGCTTGTCGTATTTCACAAGTGGTAAAAGACACCATTGCGCGAAGAACATACCAAATCCGAACGCTTCATCAATAGCAAATATTATTATTTTATTATGAAAAACTTAAATATGCTGCCCTCAAATATGCTACCCCCTTAAATATGCTACCCTCATGCAATGCATGACAACCTCGCAAGCAAGGCTCTCTACAGTACTTCCGCTTTCCTTCAAAGCGCACTCCAGCGGAAACCCAACCTCGTCCCCAGGGTCTTCTTTCTTCGTGATGGCATGCGAGAAAAGAGAAGACCCTGGTAAACACTGTTCTAAACTTCTTTGTGATTGGTTTATGCATTTGACCTTGACATATACGGATTTTGTTACAAATAAACATGATTTGTTTACCGCTAATCAGTTAATGTAATTGAGACCTGTGGATTGGTGGTATGATTTATTAATAAGGATTTTCATAACGATTTGTTTACATTAAAAAGTAAACAAATTGTTTGTTTCTGGCCAATATGTTCCTATATTTAGCTTTAATATCAGGCGCAATATATAATGGTTTTGTCGTGTGAATAAATATAGACGCGATTTTGGCACTTCAAAGTTGATGCAGCGTGTGTTTCTGACGTTTTCATTGTCTGAAAGACTACTACTTGTTTCAGTACGAGAAACCTCATGTCTTCCTCGTACCCAGGGATCTGTTTGGCCGTGGCACCAGAGCACTAGTGAAAATAGCCTGGGTACGAGGTTGACCTCATGTCTACTTCAAGTGACAGTTTAATATCAATCTCAGCTGATGCATTTTTATCATTGACACGTCTATTTTGTTCGATTTATGGCAGGCCTCTCTCCTAGAAATGCGGAGGAGGCTAGAACCTAGCAAGAACTACTAACTTTATTATTATAATTAACATACACTGGCAGTCAAAAAGAACTGCTCAAGTTATTATTTATCATATGAGCCCATACTTTAGCTTGTAATCTTAGAGTTTAGAAACTATTCCAATTTTTCAACTGTTGAGATATGTCCCATAATCTTCACCCACACTTTCGATCTACATAAGCAGGATATTGAAGTTGTGGTTCGTGTTCGAAGACTATAGTCATTCATTGGATGAGATCATGAGAAATTTCGGAAGCAAGATACAGAACCATGGGTCCAACCCCAGAAAGATCCTGGGTACGAGGTTGGAATAAGTCTTGAGCGTCGAGGAACGGTTTTGGTATTATCAAGGGAAGGCTATACACAACGGCAGATTGCTGGTAAAGTTGGTTGCAGCCAAAGAAGTGTCAGCGACATACTGAAGAAGAAACAACTGACTGGCAGTGTTAAGGACATCAAGATCCTAGGCAAAAAGAGAAAGACAACGCGATACAACATCTTGGTGCGAAAAAGTAAAGTTGACCGCTTTAAAACTGCCTCAGAGATTAAAGCCGAGATGCAAAACGAGCATGCAGTGCATATGTCCGTTTCCACCACACGACGGAGACCACGAGATGCTGGGCGGAATGGTCGCAAACCAAGAAAAAACCACGTTTAACCTCCCGCCATAACAAAGTACGACGTCAATTTGCGAGAACCCTCAGAAATTGGACAGCACAACAATGGTCAGAAGTCATTTTGTCAGAAGAATGGTTGGCGAGGATCTCAAAGAAAATTGTGTACAACCTACAGTGAAACATGGTGGTGGCGGAATAATGGTATGGGGATGCATCAATGCTAGGGGAACTGGATGTTTGTTAAAAGTTAATGGTAGGCTTAATGGTCCAGGATACATCTTCATCTTGGAGGATGCGCTTATTCCCACAGTTGACATGCTGGGAATCACTGATGGCTGGATATTTCGGCAAGACAATGTCACACCTCCAGGGTTGTGAAGGACTGGTTTGAGGAAGAAGAAATTAAAGTCATGGACTGGCCAGCCCAGTCTCCTGACCTCAACCCCCTACAAAAATTTCTGGGACCCATAGATATCTTATATACACTAGCTAGTGCATCTAATTATTCCGCAATTCAAAAATTGAAGCCGTGATTGCAGACTCAGGATATTCCCATGAAATGAGAAGATTCGTATGTTTTACATTAAGTTAAACCTATTCCAAACACATTTTTAAACTATTCAAATGATGAAAGTTATTGTTGTTTTTTAAGCGTTTATTAGCGAGTGGGAACTACCAACATGGCCGCCATCTATTCAAATGGGGGTAACAGCTGGAATATTCTTAGTTTCAATTTTACTAAAAGGGATGCGCTATCTAGTGTATATAAGATATCTATGGTTGGATCACGTCAAGACTGGTCCAAGGAAAAATAAAAAATGTACGTAATAAAAAGCGTTTGAGCTGCTTGGAGAGAATTTCCCCAAGAAACGCTAACACACGTGATAGATAGCATGCCACGCAGGTGTGAAGCCGTCATAAAGGCTAGAGGAGGTCCTACAAAGTATTGAACATTGGTAACATTGTACATCTTGTAGATAAATTATATATTAAAAGATTGATTTTCGAGATTCCTATAACATGTGGTATGTGGATTCCTATAACATGTGATACCAACTTTTGAGCAGTTCTTTTTGACTGCCAGTGTATAACAAGTTGAGCCTGCCATGTAGGCTAATAACAATTAAGCTATACAAGCAACAAGCAGACGCATTACACATGACGTCACAGCGCCGGTGACGATGATTTTGAGGACAAATTAACAATCTATGCATAATATGACTTTTGTAAACAAGGCAAATTTTGTAAACGTTTGCAATAAGTTTATATTAAAATGGTTAATTTAACTGTTGCGCTGTGTGTGGTTGTTGTACCCAAACATATATTGTTACGGAGCATCTGGAGGACACTTTAAGGATTTGTGACGTCAGTGCAGTGGGTCTATAGCTTATAGAGGTGTGCATTGGATCGCATTGAACGTTTATAATCCGACAATTGGCTAATGTTTAAAATCCGATCCGAAATTGTCTAATCCGATCCGAGTTTTGATAAAGAATTCCGATCCGAAGAATCCTTTAATAAAATAAATTTCTCATTCTAGTGGAAATATTTAGCCAAATAAATATAAAAGCAAGAAATACATTTCAAGAAGCTGACAATGTGACGTCCAATTGAATTACCAAACGAATAATGCAGCGACAACCGCGTTGTCGTGGATAATTAATTCATTTTATTTCGAATATCAAAGTCCGATCCGATTACGAAACAACTTTATCAATCCGATCCAATCCGAAATGAATATTTTTGTTCCGAAATGAATCGGATCGGATTTGCACACGTCTAAAGGCACAATTCCAGTCCTCGCACGCAGCTCCTCGCTGCGAGTGCTTGCATCTAATTAAAATTAACTCTTAAGCATTGTGGTTGGATGAAAGTGCTCATGCATGCACTCGCAGAATGGATTGCGCCCTTAAGGCCCATTTCCACTCAGGAAAATTTTCCGCAGAAAGAACATTTTGTAAAATGTAATTGGTCGACACAAATGTTCCGTCGGAAAAAAATTTTGAAGTTGAAAATTTTCAACTATATTTTCGGAAAATTTTCTGTTCGTGGAAATTTTTCTTGAGTGGAAATGGGCCTTATAGCTTAGTAGGCAATTCCAGCTTTTAATTTATGCGCACAGGGGTGGATGGGAAGTAAGGTATCATACTGCTGATTATGCTGAAAAAATAAATATGACGGCCGTTTAAACACGGAGTGATAGCTTTCGGTTGTTTCGGCAGTTTTTATTGAAATGTTTCAGCATAATCAGCAATATGATGCCTTACTTCCCATCACCCACTGCGTGCATAATTAAATGCTGGAATTGCCAATTGTTTTCGGCTAATCTTAGTGGCCGTGTTACGTTACTCCACCCGGCCACCCCCTAAGTAGCCTGCGTAGCAGGCATTTAGTGCGGGCGGGAGAAGAGAGGGCCTCATTTGAGGAAACTAAACGCCTGCCCAAAGCGGTGAATGTAAAAGGCGGAAAGGCATGCGGAATGGTCGCGGAACGAAAAATGATGTAAATTTCGCGACATTTTTTACGTGACTATTTTGCGCGATAATCTTATGGCAGCATTTCTAAGTGTTTCTCCACGTTTTCAATACACCCTTTAATTACGTCATGAATACTTTTTTGGCGATAATTACGTCATGATAAATACTTTTTTGAAAAAACGCAAGGTGATTTGCTGACTATTCGAGAGTCGAAGTTCCAGGCCAAGCACGTAATTATCGAAAGGGTGTATATGAACGCTATAAATCCATAATTTTCGGAACTAAAAACTCAGGCAACAGGGTCCAGTGGAGTATATAAGTTTTACAATAAAGGCCAACGTTCTACAATAAAGCCTTAGGAGTATTACACAACAGGATTTATTATTATTTCGAGCAAAAACTGTTAGTATAGCGCCTTCAGAGTGCTTTATCACCATGGCGGTTGGATGTTAAATATTCATATAATCACGAGATAAGGTACCCAATCTTAGCAAACAGCACAACACAATATGAATTATCATTGACAATGCGTCTATGGCAAAATGATTTGAAGATCTTCAGCCAGCTTCATTTTGTTTGCCTCACCATGGAAGGTGGAAAATATGGATATCTCTTCATTACACAAATTAGTATCGCATGATAGCCACAGGTTGGCATGGATCACCAGTTGGTTATCTTTCCATGTGTTTCAGTATCAAGTTCTCTGGATGTTTTGCATCACCGGTAAAAAATATCGCGAAATTTACATCATTTTTCGTTCCGCAATCCACTCCGCAATGCCATTCCGCCTTTTACATTCACCATGCTTGTGGTACATTTTTCGTTTATTAGCCCATACCCTTGTACGCACGCGCACAATATATTCCGAACTCCAAGGATAGAATGGCGGTTTTTCACTGAGCGACTAATATATATTTCACACGTGCCGGTTTCCTATTGATATTGATATTGTGCCGGTTTCCTATTGAAAATATATTGTATTGCACTCTGGACTCTCTTGCGTGTTGAATTCGTTTTTCTTTGTGTAACGACTCGAAAACCCCAAAATTTGGACCCAGGGAACTTATACAATATAGTGGATTAAGTGGAATGTAAACAAGGACAAGTTTAAGGTTTGACTTTTTAAATAACAAGTGTAAATATACGTTGTAGACTCATAAACAAGCGTTGTGCACTTGTGTTCATTTGCATAATTATAGATTTGCACCTAATTACATTAATTTGCGCCAAATTACTTTCCATTTCATCATATATTACTATAAAAATGTATTTCTTTTATTGTATTCAGCGAGGTGGCGTTGCGTGCGGGGCGACGTCAGTGAAACGTGATACTGTTCAATTTCTTTTGGAACAAGATCCAACTTCCCCCCCCCCCACACTTTTTTAATTCTCAAATTGTTTACTAGATGTTTACTGGTTGGGGTTAGAGAAGGGCTTTGGGTTGGGATCAGTTTATCTTATAAATGGAAGAAAATTGGCGTATTTTTTAGAAGAATCATCTATGTCTATGAACTTTTTAGCACCTGAAACTAGCCATATAATGGCATTAAAAATCAAGGACTATATAATTTCTTCGCTATTATTGGCCCATCATTATTTACGGTTGATAGTTGATGATCATAGTTACAGTGGGCCTGGCTTATCAGGTTGAGTTGCCCGTAGCCGGAGGGTACGCCTGAGTCGGCGTCTTGGTATATTATGGTTGATAGTTGCTGATCATGATTGTATTTATTGGTTGTACTAATATGGTCCAGACCTAATGTATCCCTATCTACTTCTCTACTACACATGCATTACACCCTACCACGAAAGTTGCCATTTTCAGGCCAGTGTGAATGCCTGAGCAGGCGTCTTGTTTAGTATTTTAAGAAGGCGGGAATTTGACCTTTTTTATAGCGGAAGGTCGGGAATTTGTTAAGGGGGTCGGGAATTTGCATTTTTCTTTTAAACACGTGTGCCACCCAGGAACCACCGAGGCGCTTTGATGGCTTTGATGTTGCGTACGAGGCTGCACGTGTGCTGAATCCAGAATGGCGTCAATGACAATGGATGAGTTGAAGTGCAAAGGAATTAACTTTGTCCTTGGTTGACCGAAAGAAAACGGTTTTGAACGATTGAAGAGAGTTTTTGAAGGAAAGAAAAACTTTGTAATTCCAAAATTACGAAATGTTGTAGCTTCCAATTCGCGTATGCGGTGGGGTAGGGTATTTGAAGTCCAATTTTTCCCAGTACGTGGTGTATTTGAACGGGAATTAGAAATATAGGTAGGGAATTTGACCTTACCAAAACGTCAAAATCCATATGGGTTTTAAATTAAGTTTTAACCCCATATCTGTTCCGCATTGTAACCCCATGTCCGTTCCGCATTTTAACCCCGTCCGTTCCGCATCCGCATTCTAACCTAACCCATTCCTTCCCAAGGATCGCAGGCTCAGGGAACGAGATTGTGCAGTGATTCCAGTGAAGATTTTTATTTTAAATGGAGCAAGTTTTATAAAGAAGTTTCATGTATCATGAGTGTTCTTGATAAATTAAGAATTGGTGAAAAAGGTACGTGGTCACATCAGTCATGTCTTTATACTACTAAAACGTGAAGTGACAGTATTTACTATTAAAGTTTATAAATCTGAGGTGTACAATTTCCAAATATTCCAGTCAGATTTTGTCCCAATTATTTAGCAATCATGGAGCTAACTGTCTTTGGTACAGTACTAATGGAGTATGTGAAGTTTGCTGAGATATATAACTGGGATTTTGCCATTCTTGATGTTGGAAATTCAGGTCACTATTTGTTGTATATTAGTTTCTCATCCCCACCCGCATGCTTTTTATAAAGAAAATGGTGATGAGAAATTTTGTGATGTCTTCAAGGTGAAGTTGAGGGAAAGACAATTAGAAACGTTCCCAAACCATGCAAATGTTAAGCCCCATTTACACGAGCAAATCTTATTTGGCAAATTTCATATGTCAGATATATTTTGCTCATGTAGATGATACATTAATGTGACAAATTTATTGTGACAAATGCATTTGAACAAAAGGTAGCATACTAGCTTTTGATCAAATGCATTTGTTGTATTAAATTAGTCAAATAAAATTTGCTTGTGTAAACAGGGGCTTTATAGTTAAAATACAAAATTTCGTAACCCAAACTGTCAGTTTTCCCACATTAGGTAAAACACTTATTCCTGATATCCAAACTCAGCTATAAAAGTTTTACCAGATGCCAGGGGAGAAATATGCTAGACAACCTGGGTAACAAAATTATATCACATGTCATGTGACATGCTTTTAGTTGCACTTACTGATTTTGGGCAGTTTTGCAAATTATGCTGAACTACAGTGTGTAATTGCTGCAAAACAGCATGAT